AGGAGGGAAATGATAAAGTATAGAGCTTAAGCAAGAAACAAATGGCTTTATGCCAGCTCTCTAGATTTCACCCAACATGAGAGAAAAACCATTGAACACTACTACAGCATTAGCAGAAATGCGCCATTTGGAATGGATAAAAAGAACGAAATACACAGTTTGTAGTCTTTAGGTAGCTGGATACAAGGATCAAAATAAGCAATATACTCATCCACAAAATTCTGAATTTAAAAATACATTTTGCTTTTCAAGGGCCACTCACACAGAAGAAATACAATTAACTGAAAAATCATTTGAATCTACTGCCTATTTTTAAAATTATGAGTATATGGCAGAATCAATAATATCAAATGTTCCTAAATGCTAGTATGCATTCCAGTGTTACACAGAAATGACACGTTACAGCTGCATGTTATGAACTACAAAAAAGTACAAAAACATTCTTTCAATTCATGCCATCGTATATATAAGGATAAAATCATTTAGCTATTTTTTAATGACAGGCCAACTGGTTTCACTGGGGCTGCACACTGGTGCAGGTGTCTCTCCACAGAGAATATGTTTCAGGATCACTGCTGACAATTAGCTGTTAGAATGGCAAAAAATGATGTATGGAAAAGACTCCACATGAAGCATTTTTTGCCACTCAGACCTGTTACTCACGGCCTTGCATTTTGCATCTAGATAAATTACGGTAGTCATAAAATGTTACTAAAATGACAGTAACTATTTCAAGCTGCTTCAGTGGTAGCTTGATTTGCACAAATCTGAAAGACTACGCAAAGAAGAAAACAATGGAGTCAGAGCCTTTCATGTGCAACTCACATTAGGAGCTTATCTTGATGAAAATTAAAAATACCACTTTTTAATACCACTTTATAATAGCATTATTTTACCATTGTTTAACATCATTTTATGATGGTACAGTCCCACTCCAAGTTAAATGATCTAAACTGATGCTGTCTCAATCCTACCCTTGACTGCACAGCTGGCCCCCTCCCATGTTCCAGCTCTAGCATTCATGTGACTAGGCAGTCAGCCCAGCTCAGCAGGTACCACAGGTGGTGTTACATGTCAAGTTTTCTTCCCAGCAAGGCTAGATTAAATCCTTGCTCTGCATAGGCTAAGAACAGACTAAATACTACCAAAATAACTACATAAATAGCAAATCTCTTTTAAAAAGTCAGTAAGCAGGTCCCTGATTCAGAAAATGAGGACAATGCCACAAAATGTATCAAGGAACCAAATTTGAGGAGCTTTTGGTGTTACTGCAGTAACCTCCAGTCTTTTAAGGAAGGAAAGAATTACCAGACAAATGAAAGAACTTTTTTCAGTTGGTTTCTAAGTCAAGATCAAGCCTTACTGTCAGGGACTTCAAACGGTCACAATCTATAATGCGGCTAAGATTAGTCCTCCAGCTTCTACACCTATTAAGGCAGTGCCTACTACCTACTTAGTTAATGCAGTGTTTAGAGGAATGAGAAAGATGAGGAGTGAGCAATCTCTGGTTTATTATTATTATTTTATTTATCATTACACATAAAGTAATGCCACCGTTTATTGTATTTCAACACAAGACCTTTAAAGACCTAAGAATTTCTATGGAAAAGATATTCATTGTGCTTTTAAATATATATTTCAATCAGCAACAAATATTTCCAAGACACAGGTAAATATGGTGAATACTGATCTTGCAAAGAATTATGCAATTTTAAAGAAATGAGAAAATGCACTCCAGTTCCAGTTCAATGGCATTGATCATATGCTGAGAGTTAAGCCTTTCCAGGTTGAACTGAATGAATGACAAAACACCTAAACCCTCCTAAAAATTTAGTCACATATTTCCTTCTTATTTTCCATCAATAAAACAGCATCCTATGGCAGCAAGTTTACTTTAGTGGTGTTGCTGATGTCAAAAAGAGAGGAATGAAAAGAAAAATGGGCCAGGACTTCAAAGGATCTTCTGGGAGCTAGATGTCTAAGTTTCATTCAAATTTAATGGGATTTATATGCATAAACTTTTTAAGTTTCTTTAATATCCAAGCCAAAATGGAACATCCTTCAAAGTTTCAGAACGATTACAAGAGTAGAATATAATGCTTCCTTCATTTAAAATGCCAAAAACCTGACAATTTCCCGTACCAGTAGAAGTTGCTTGACCAGACACAAATATCGCTTAAATTTAATAATCGAAGCTTTCTGAATAATGGCAGAAAGGATCAAATTTAATAGTTTAATTTCTTCCCTTTATGGAAATGAAATAAGACTAAGAATGGTTGTGTTTCAAACATTAATAGGCCATGGCTTAAGAAAAGACCCACCTGCATACTAACAGATTCTAATATAGATTACACAGCAAAGAAGGGTAGTCATTTATTTTCCTATTCATCACATTTGTTACTAGCTACTGAAACATAACTACAGGGAAGAGAAACATAACTGTAGGGAAGAGAAAAGGAGAGACTGAAAATGCTCTCTTTTTTTATGCCTGCACTCTATTTTTTTGACAGAGCTATTTGGGTATTAGTAAAGGGCTGGACCAGATGACTTCCGGAGGTCTCTTACAACCTAAATTATTCTGATTCTATGTCATAGCTGAAATGGTTTAAGGACTAGAGGACACTGAGCTGGTCTTGGGATACATTCTCGTGAGGGAAAAAAATTAACTGAACTGTAAAGATAGTCTTTCAGAACTAGGACCTGAGAATATATAGTTTGTATTTTTAACAAGTTCTGCCTTTATAAAAGCTATATATTTCTAGCAATAAAGTTTTGAAAAACTTTTGTTTCAAAATTACCTTCAGAAGTAGCAGATGTACATGTGGAGTAAGGGCTGTCAGAAGATGCCAGCTACTGAATACTACATTAGACAAAGATATTAAATCCGCATTAAAGGTGTACTGTTTTATTATATGTCACTGCCTCAAGACCAGCAATAATTGACCTAAGCCCCAGTTTTAGAAACTCAGTATAGACAGATATATGCAAGAATGAAATAATCTTGCTGGCAAAGAACTGATGTTCTTTCATTCAACATGACGATTTTAAATGCTAGATCTTAGAAACAGTACATATAGACTCTCTTTACCTGCAATTATACTATGCATAGATAGTCTATGTAGCTAGTAAAAGTCCAGTTACGTAAATCAGGAATTATATAGCTGCAATCACACCAGTGCCTCATAAAAATTGCAGTATTGAAAGCTTTTTTTTTTTTTTTTGAAAAATTTCTCCGTAGCTTATAGTGCAAACTCAATTTGGAATTCACTTAGAAACAATTAATCCCAAAGATGCCATTTTTATAAAGCTGCATGTTTAATACAGAGCTGTACTACAAACCAAAATGAAGTAGTCAAAACATTATTTTGAAATGGAAATTGTTTTTTACAAAACTTTTGCAATAAGATGAAATGGAGCATTTTATTATTATATAATTTTTAAGTCAGGCATGAATCTTCATAGTTTCACATCAGCAGTAGAAAAAAATCAGAAGACTGTACCAAATTATTACATATTTAACATATGCTGAATCTCACGTTAAATTTCATTATTTTTCTTACAAACCGGTCAAAGAAAATTCCAACTAACCCTGTAATATCTGTTTCTGTGTAGTGACAGTGGAGTTCTGAGATCATATAAGAAGCTCTACCAAATAAGGCAATACAGTTTTTTTAAGCATGATACAGATCATAGCCATATTTTAAAAATACAATTTCCTTTTTAAGACACCTAGGCAAAATGTGTAACTGCACAGGAAAAAGGCAGCCATTAACAAAAGATTACAGCACTACTAGCAATTCATTGTAAAGTAACTGCATACATTAGGAAAAAAAAAAAAAGTAAACTTTACTTCCTTACAGTCTCCCCCCTTCCGCCACTTCTCTGGAATTCTTTAAATGAATATAAAGCTATTCTGGATAAAATCAATGGTACACATTAAGACCTTTAAACTTAGGTGTCTACACCTATGTAATAGGTGACTGCATCTGTACTGCCATCAACTGGAGATTTAGTCATCAGAGTTAATAGGACTCAGTTCAGCTGTCTACATCAAGTATCTAATGTCATTTGAGATGCTAGAGGATATCAGACACCTACAAAGAACCAGCAGATACGACACATGATCTACAAAAGACTTGCACACCTCTGTGGAGCAGCAGCTCAGGCCAGGCAGGATGCCCTAGGGTATCTTAAATGGCACCAGACACCTGTCTGAAGCAAATGAATTGAGCCCAGTGGAAATTGGAGAGATATTCTGCTCATTCAAAAGGAGGTGTTTGTACCTGAAGAGCCAAATAGTTCAATAGCTCTCTACTGGTTAAAGCAGACAACTCCATAAATACCTAAATGTAGATGTCTTAATTTGTGAGCGCAAACTAAGATGCACCTAGGTATAAATTAAACTCCTTGAACAAATGAAAGGAGAAGAATCTAAAAATAATTACCACACAGAATATTTTAGCACACCTTTTATTAAGCAAAACTGGTTCAACAGATACCATTGTAAGCCTTTTGATTTTACAGACCTTGCTGTACTAGGTTCTAAACCAACATGTCAACAAGTCACGATTTCTGGTTCATGGAAGAACTCAAAATGGAAAAACCTCAAATAAATGATGCCAACTCAAAATCTGACTCATATTAATTTGAAATTATTTTTAAAAATTAGGATTACTATAACCAAGGTGTTTTTTTTTTTTTTTTGCAATGACTTAACTTCTGTGTCTGCTACAATTAATCCCTACGTTTAACTCACTGAAGCTTGAGAAGTCTTTTAATGAAACAGCAAATCAGGAAATAGATCATATGAATCCACCTGCAATCCTTACTGCACTAAACTGAAAAGAGCTAGAATCTCTAGCTTTGGCTCTAATTTTTATGTTTATCAAATCTCTTTGTTTTAATACAGAATTTAGTCAAAATACAGAAAACCTGCGTAAGAGAAAACATCAGAAAAAAAAACTGTAATTCTTTTGTATTAAGAATTTAAGTTTACTTACTATTGACATCAGCGTTAATATATAGTGCTGTAAATTCTGTCCATGATGACGAACCATTTTGGTGTCAGCTGTAACCATCACTTCCACGTATCTTGGATAGGAAAGAAAACGTTTTTTCCGGGAATGTGGATTATTGCTACTGTCCTCCGCAGATAGGTTTTTAAAAGCATAGTCTAAAATGGGGGACTTGTGTAAAACATTTATCTCCTCATTTAACCTGCTGAAGTTTGGATGTAGTAAAGTGCTTTTCTTCAACTCTTTTTCTATAAGATAGAAAAAGATTTACTGTAGAATGCAGTATTCAAGCTTAAAAACAGACAGTCAAAAGGCTGCACAAAAGAGACAAAGCAAGAAAGTTATTATACTTATGATCTATTTCTAAAGGAACCAATGCAAGAACTAAAAAATGCATTAAGTAGAGAAGGCTGTAATAGGAACATCAAATTTCATGTCTTGCGCATTATTATGCCGTTCTCTCACATATGGAGTCATTGTTAAAAATTAATTAAAAGTAGACAGCAGTATTGCACAGTTTCCAGAATGCAGTATAATCCAAACAAATAGGCTGGAAGGAGGTAAGCAGTACAGCTTAAGCAGTATAGAAAAGGAAACAAGTTAATTGAATAAAATAACTGTGTTTCCACATAAACATTTGACCTAAACCAACAAAATGCCAGGTATTCCATAACAAAGACTAGCCATGATTTCTGAATTCAAATCACTATTGATTTTTTTCATTTATATATCCTTATATTTTTATGAACGTAAGGTTCTTTACATAAGTAATTATGCCCGAAAAAAACCTCAGTGACTTCCTTGAAAGCTTTGTTAATATTCCCCATGTAGGATCAGGTCCTGAAGGAAATACAGAACCTACTTGGATATCTCCAGACCAAGTACTAGAAGACTTCCTAATTATACTCCGTAATGTAGTCCAACAGAACAATTCAGAGAGTCTGATTTAGACTCTCTATATACAGTCAGGGGCCTCTGATGACTGATACGCAAAATCCGTTAGTTTATCAGGGAACCACCTTTGAAGTAGCCCACACGAAAACATTTAACTGAGAAGCATATCTGAATTCTCCCTAGTCTCCAGAACTTAAGCACCTAACTAGACACTTCAGTCCTCTCAGAATCAACCTCCATCATCTTTGTGGAAGTTAGACTCCCTCTTAAAAACTAGCCAACAAAGGAGACTGTTCCCAATCTTTTTATTCTAATGACTTAGTGGCTACAGCACTAATTCAAGAATCCTAAGACCCAGGCTCAGTGCCATTCTCAACTTGAGAAGATTTAAATCTACATATCCTATATTTCAGAGAAAGACGCCCTATCGTAAAGCTTAAAGCTACCTTTGATAGGTCTACAGTCCTTTGAAGTTAGGACACAATACTGCTAGGATCACTACAGTCACAGGACAACAAAAGCATCTTAAATTTTGCTGACTAATCATCTGAAAGTCAGTCACAAAATACAGGTATGGTAATCGCAAAAACTACTAGCACTAACAATAAAGAGGTGAGAATTTGGGGACTAGCACAGAGAAGGAACAAGTTAGTCCTTATGTACATTAAATGTTTTCAGATTGACTGAGCCTGATGCACTTAGAGAACTGGTTGAAGCAATCTCACATTCATATTATCTTTACTAGCTCACAGGTGTCCGAGATTTCAGAGTACAGGAAAAATGGGAAAAATCACCTATATTTAGAATAGAAGTTTTGTAGAAGTCATGAACATATGGACCAGCCAAGTTCCCTTCAATATCAGAACACATCAAATTAATTTTATTTATAAACACCAGAAGATAACAAGGAAATGAAGAATAGCTAATATACTTATCAAAAACATACCTCATGTCAAACTAATCTAATCTCCCTATACCAAGGAAACAGGATTAATGGATAGAGGAAATGTGGTAGATGTCCTATTCTGACTGGAGCGAGGCTTGCAACAGAGTTTCCAACTAATTTTTCATGACCATGTTAGTCTAAAAGCAACCACTATGGAGTGAGCAAAAAATTAGCTATGAAATAAATTTTAAAAGTTATTAGCATGGCTCAATTTAAAACTAAAAAGACGTACTGAATGGAATTTCAGAAGTGATCTGCTGTGAATCTAATATTATTCAAAATTTTTATTCACAATTTGGAAAATTATATTTATTGAATACTATATCTATATGGATGTCAGAAACTGGGAAGAGTACCAGGCATCCTGGAGGACAGTATCAGAATTCAGAGTGATCCAGAGAAAATAGAAGGTAACGATTTGGAAAAAGAAAAAGGCTGCAACTCAAGGAAAACAACTGCAAAGTTCTGCAATTGGGCAGGAATCGCAACTGGAGATGCACGGGATGGAAAGTAACAAGTTAGCAATAGCAAGTTTATAGCAAAGGATCTAAAGATTACAGTGAATCACAATCGACTACAGATCAACAATAGTTTAATTCTGAGGATAAAAAATTAGACTGAAATGTATTAAACTGGTGTACTATCTAAACACAGCTGAAGCATTCCACTCTATTCAGTCGAGGTTATGCCTCTGCTAAAATACTATGTTTTGAGAAACAGATTTTTAAACAATGCAGAGGAACTGGAAAAAATCCAGGGGAGTACAACTATGTAAAGAAATCTAGAAACATGATCCATACAGATAGATTTAGGAAATTGGGGATGTTTAGTCTGCAGAGGAGTAGATTGGTAGAAGACTGTCTTCAAATATGTAAGAAGTAATAGCAAGAAAAGGAGTAAATTTATCTGCAGATTATTTGGAGAATAACTAATGGGCTTAAATTGTTGCAAAGGAAACTTAACTTAGGTATTAGGAAAAACCCTCTTATTGCACTAACAGTTAAACACGGATAGACTGTCTAGGGAACTGTGCAATTTCCACAGAGATCTGACCAACAGAGGTCAAAAATGATGTAGGAAGAGTTGATCTTGACTTGCTGCAGTAGTGTAAGCAATTCTATTTCATTCCAATTCTGTTTTCTGTGATTCTTTCAAATGTTTTTGAAGGAAACGTATAGTAATATAATAGATTAGGAAATAACTGTCAAGGAAGAACAGATAGAAGATGACACATCTCACTGTAGAAGATGAAAGGTTTACTATTTCAATATTATATCAAGCAATAAGTAGGATAGAGAAAATATAACGATATAATACAATAAATAAGGAATTCAAAGAAAAGTTGAGTAAAAAATCCAAAATTCATTTTCTTTGGACACATACAATGGAATTCACTTGACCATATTATGTATGTATGTCTACCTTGTATATTTGTAATCTAATCATCTAACCTCTAGCAGAGAGAAAAAGGCATTTCCAGGGTACAAATCATCTCATCCTAAACAGCATACTTAAAATAGGTCACATGTATCATAAGAACTAAAAATGACCCTTTCTCTCCTCTGAATATAAAAAGGGGCTAGCTAAGGATGACTAACACAGATGTACAGTGTCTAAAGTTAGATGAGATGGCTCACTATTGTCATTATTAGTGTAAACTACAATCTGATCAAGCATTTACTGCTTAACTTAGAAATAACACGTTCTCAAAAAGAAAGCCTCTCCATATTCTCTATCAAAGTTCACTTACGGAAGAAAGAGAAACTCTCATGATCACAAGTGGATATTGCTATACATATTCTTCCTTTAAGAGCAAATGTAAGGCAAGGCTAGCATTAAAGATGAATCTCTACTTTAGAAAGACAGAAATGTAACCACATTTCTGCAACTCCACCCAAAGAAATGACAGTAGCGCCTGGCTCACAGCCTTTTGTAGCTGCTCCAATAAATGAAAAGGGAAAACGATCACATTGTTAACGCTTGGAAACTTTTCCTCATAGCAGGCTGCTTACATGAATAGTATTCTCTCATATACATAGCATAGGAAAAAAAACAGAACAGAAAGACCTCTACTTAGTTCAGTGCGTATTATTCATCACAAAAAAAACACACTGTTGCTTGATTTTCAAACCAAGTGCTAACTCCTTGATTCTAATGACAATCAATGAATAGCATCAGCTTCCCAACATAGAACTAAAGAACAAGAAATACCTGCTACTAGAATTTGTTCAATGCAAGATCATAATGGTCACTTTCTGGCCTAATATCTACGCATAAGTTGCATTCTGAACATATTGCTTCTGAGTATAAAACGTGCTCTAAGAATAGTCCAAGATTAAAACACTAACTACACCACTTTTTTATGATTTGTATTTTCCAACGTCTGATCAGATATTACTTAAGAAAAGGAAATAAGGTTTCATTTCTTATATCTTCCTTTTCTTCAGATATGTCATAGTTACGCATTAAGCCTCGTATAAACATTTCTGAAATGCAAGTATATTCAAAATGCACAAATGCAGATTTCAATCTCGTGAAAAGTGTAGAATTTTAATTAGACAGGATGCTTCTAAATGCCAGGCTGAATCAAATATAAGCTGCTTTCTCCTATTGTGAATCTCCACCCATTTGTGTTTTCTTTGAAGTCCAATAAATGAAGCTTGCATGCTTCTATTAAAAGCACAAGAAAGGCATTTATTATGTCACTAGGCTTAAAAAACTGTTTCAGACACAATGAAAAATACTTTTAAAATGGCACTAGTATAATAGTGGAAGGTTAAGAAGTGCATTGCTCAAGCAGGATCTTCAAAGGGTTCTGTATCATTATATCTCAAAACAGATGGTATCCCAGTGTTCGGAACTATAGTTTATGGACACCTACAATCTCAAATAAATCCATTCTAATCCCACTCTTTTGTCCAGTTTTTGTGCTTTCATGGTAGCTGCAGGTGTCTTTCTCACATCATATTGTTTTCCAACTATGAAGATACATGTGTAACCATGCAAACAACTACTGAAAATTTTCTGCCCGCTAAATGTGTATTAGTTTAAATCACAGTGCTTTCTGCTTCATGATATTAATAATGGGGTTTTTTTCTTCTCACATTCACATTCATTGCACCTGGTCTCACTCTGAAGTCACTTTGCATAGAGTAACTTTCATAGTGTGAAGCTATGAAACTGCAGTCATTCACTTGTGACATATCCTAGTACTATGCTTCTAAATTTCTTTCTCTAGTACTATGCTAGTACTATGACTAGTACTATGACTACTTCATATCCTAGTACTATGCTTCTAAATGTATTTTTCTTAATTTAAATAAAACTATATACTATTACTATGCTGCATGAATACATTATTAAAACATGCATAATGAGAAATATCTACATTAACAAGTAATATTAGGTACTTCCATTATTATGGATGACAGATCTACTGTATTATCCGTTAGACTTGCAATCAATTCATTATATTTTGTGAGTATAAATAACAGCAGCTCCTGCGGATCTGGTCCTCAGATGTTTACATATGGAACAAGACAGGTGTAAAAACATCAGGATGTATTTTAACAGATATGCTAACAAGCACATTGTGTCCTACATTTGAGTTCGCCACTGGTAGAAAAAGAAAAGGTCACCAAGCCTATGTGAAACAAATGCATAGGTTCTAGTGGAAAGATCTAGAGACTAATATTACCAAGGAAAATGGCATTTTACATTTTGTTAAATCATCAGAACTCTGACACCTAAAAAAGTCACAATGAAATTTAAAGGATGACTATACCTGAAACTGCACAAGGTTTATGGGATTTCTGATACTTTCTTTTAAATTCTTCATGCCTGTATATAAGATGTGGTTTGTTATGTTCGTCTTCATGATCACCTCCATCTGCTTTCATCAGAGGTTCTAAAAAATATTCACCATCATGTGCCTTAAAGGTGCCCATCTGAAAGTAAAGAGGTAACCGATTTATTGTCCATTGAAAATACTGATATAAAATAATTTTCATGCATATAATAAACTATTGATGGTAATATTTTAAAAGTACTGAAAATAAAACTTGCTCTTGAGACACAGGAAACCCAATGGAAGCAGAAGAGATGGAAGCTGGAAGGTGACACAGGAAGAGAAGTTTGCTTCCAGAAACTTGGCTCACCAGAATATCTCATTAAGAAATCTACCATACCTATTAATAATGCATCATACGTAAGGTTAATGAAACAAAAGAGATCACAAAAGCAAAAAGATTCTAGGTATAACCAAGTAGGACCAATTGGGAACTATGTAAAGGGGCAAGTGGAAGGTATCAAGATCTTCAGGGTTTGAATGTTGTCAGAATTCTAGATTGAGTTGGTGCCTCCTTTCCCTTTTTCCTTTATATAATTTATAAAATCTCTGTCTTCTAAAATTGCATTTTTACCATATATTAGTAACTGCGTTAACCTGATGTTCTGTTTTTCTTTTTTAAAAAGACTTTGAAACCAGTTCCAGGAATTCAAAGTTGACAGTTTAATAAATATGTTTTTCTTCCACTTGATTTTTTTCTCTCTCTCTCTAGCAGACATACAGAGCTAGCTATATACTGGGAACCAAAGGAACTTGATTACTCACCAAAGCACATATACAAAGAAAAACAACAAAAATTAAGCTCCTTTTTTTCCCCTGTAACCCATTCAACTAAGAAAACCTAATAGGGAATCTCTTCCTTCTCTCTGCACTTCAAACTACAGGCATGATTTCCTATGGTTTAAGTACCTTATTTCATAAAATGAATAGCACAAGATGAATAGGGAGAAGACACACAGAGCCAGGTAGCTATCACTGGGGAGGATGGAAACAAACCTTGTTCAGAAACTGGACAGCAGCAAACAAGGACATAGTTTTATAAACCAAGATTAAGGTTAGTGCAACTACTAAGAGGAGAAGAAACCACGTAAGAATTTACTCAAGTGCTTTTCAAACATTTTGGCACATGCTTCATCTTCAATCAATTAAGAACTTAAGTAAGCAGGTGCTTTGCAACCTATTAGCTGTTTTGCTATATTGGTGAGGTACATTAACTGGTAAAAGAACAGTGATAATCTACATAATGTGCTTTAAGAGATTAAATATTGCTACCAACTTTGAAAATTAGGGGTATACAGTGAGTGGAGAAGCAAAATATGGTTCAAGCAGGAATACTTCTTTCAGCAACCTACAGTAGTCCTTTGAAATCTGCAGCGTCCATTTTCTGCGTTTATAGGCTTGTTAGGCTTCAGGCATATATATATATCACACCGTCCATAACCCTGCCTGAGATGTCGTCAGAAATTGCAGTTATTGTAAACCCACTGAGGTGGGATCCTCTGTACCATATTTGTTGTGTAATAAAAAAAAGACCGAGCCAAATATTACTTCCTCTCAAGACTGCTTAAATCTCACTTAGCAGAGGCACTTTCTCCCCTCAGCATCAAACAGATCTAAATTCTTTGCAAGTAGTCTTCACACTGCATCTTTTATATGTTCAGTTCAGCCTCTTCGTATCCAATATTTCCACGGCATAGGGTTTGTAGAGGCCTGTAAAATATTATCTGCCTCCCTGAAAACGGCCTCCAATATCTAGGGTTCCTTTAAAACAGATATGCTACAGCTTGTCAGTTAGTCCTAGGTAAAGTACAACCTTCTGGTCAAAATGACAAAGAGACAGAGACAAGGAGGTCCTGTCACTCAGGGGCAAACCGGTAAGAGCTGAGTCTAAGGTTCTTCAGATTCATGTTGTTTTTCTGTAAACTATGAACAAAGTCCAAACCACCAAAATAGGATAAATCTGACCCTATGAAATTTGTGAACACCGATAATTAGTTATTTTCTCCTATCATTCTCTAAACTCTCTTTCTAGACAACAGAGACATTTGAAATATGTTATTTTAGATTTTAAGAAAGTAAAAACTTTACTGCTACTGTTTTATTCCCACACACACCTTATTTCCCCTCTTCCTCCTTCTAATAGCTGGAACACATATTTTGCACTGTTTTCTTTAATAGCTTTTTCAATTAACGGGCTTTCAGATTTCACAAAGAAAGGGTTGTAGCTAAGAGAAATATACGGACTACATGAATAGTAGCACAGAGCAAATAAGCAAAGAGTTTGTTCCACATTTTAAACTAAACCCATTCTCCAGACTATCAGACTTCCACTGGAAAAGGTGAGCTGCAGGAATAGGCTGTATTTCTCTACCATTTCACACTCCAAAAAATCCATAATTTTCACTCCAAGTCAAAATTGCATCCATAATGCAACAAACTTTCATTCTCTCCTTAATGAATTCGCTCTTCATCAACAATGCATAGTTAAATAACTAATAACTGTTGCCACCTACTGGCTAGGAACTCTTCCCACCAGTAGCCTATGATGAACTATTTTTGCACATCCCCCATCCAAGTTGAAAACACTTCTTTATACATGAGAATACCAAAACAATAAGAGAGGAAAATAAACACACTCTCTCTAACTTACGAAGAGTATACTGCATTTGTCATTTGCAACCCAGGCAGAGACTACAATTTATTCCACAAATGCTACTGGAATAAATTTGTAGTGAAATGTTAACCTAATAAAAATCTGAGCTTTTTGTGGCAGCAGTACACAGATGTGGTTGGGTTCAGATTAATGAATGAAAATAAGTATTTCAGAAGGCATCTCAGAAAGCTGAAAGTTAGTGAAAGTGAAGCCAAGTTTGAAGTCACCAATACAAATCCTTCAAATCCTTGACGAAGACTAAACTTGGATTTTGATTAGCCACACATGGTTATCTCCTCATTTTCCTTACAATTATTAATAGGGCTACAAAAATTCAGTCATCAGCTACACTCTTCTGCCTGTTTCACACTTCATTCATGGAAGTGATACAAATTGAGCTATTCCTGTGAATTAGACACATAAGGCAAAGGACTGTGAGATCCAAATGAAAAAGAGAATTTTTGGTAAAACTAAATAAATCAGAGTCACCTATTAGAGGTACAGAGGCATGTTGCTGAAACAGGAGCCCAAGTACTTGCAGGAAATGAAATCAGAAATGAACTGGATTTACTTATCATCTACAGATGCCTCTCAAATCATATAGCAAGAAATCAGCCCAAAACATTCTATTTCTGTTCTCAGATAAAGAGGTAAAAGTGCATCTAAAAGATCTCTTCAGTAGAAGTGGAGTTTAAAATTGAAAACAGTCTCTTGCACATCGTAAATAAGTGGTCCAAAGTAAAAAAGCAGGAGCACTCTCCAGGACTATGCATATGCATAGGTATCGGGAAATTCATGAGAAAACCCACATGAGAAAGATAATTTATTTCCTGGAGTTAAAATACTCTGGATGAGTTAGACACTCGAATATATTAAATCAAGGTTCAATGGATCGACACAGCTACTCACTATATATGGTATGTCTTAGTGGTTTAAAGTGGCTTAAAGCTGTATAGGCTTAATCAACGTATTTGCTCTATTCCAAGAGTAGTAGAAATAAATATTGCAGCATCTGTGGTTAAAGTATGTACCATACCCATATACAGATTACATCCTTGTGTATAATGGCAACTTCGAAGAACACATGGAAAACATAAGGGAAATATAGGAGGTTTCAGAAACATGGAATTAATCTTATGTCTAATCTAATGTCCAACAGCAAAACTGGAAAGGTTTCAGAAAAATCCTAAAAGAATGACAGAAGTTCTGGAAAATATGATTCTAAACCAGCAGATTCCTTCCAGGTAAGCTCTACTCCTTTGCCTTAGTCTGTTTCATGCCCTCATAGTATCATTTGTTAACTCAAACTCAAAAACTTGTAAGTAGTTTATATCAAGGGTACTTTCATGGTCAAAGCAAATGACAAAACTCCTTCCTTTTGTATTATTCCACCTACTTTCTCTGTTGTATTCATTCAAAGCTCTTCTGAATCATGTGAGAAGCCCTTCACCCTTCTCTGCCAGCTCCACTGTTACAATGTTTTTTAGTGAAAGCCTTGAGAAGCATAGCCTAATTAGTTCACTGAAGAAAAAAGCATTAGGGGTTATCTGATCACGATACACTGCCAACATCTGGAAAAGAGATTTCTACTAGTAGATAATTCAGCTAGAAAAATGACAAGATGTAGTGGTTGCAAGCCAACATTATATTAATTCAAACCAGAGATAATATAATAAAAATAACAAAATAGAAATAATATAATAAATAACACATTGGCTCAATGACAGAAAAAAATCTATCTGGCAAAGAAAAAGTGTTATCTGGTGGAACACCTTTTTGTAAGTGATCAGAAGCAACATTGCATTTGAACTTCTTAAAAACAAATTGAATAAAATGCTAAAAATAGTAAAGACATCTTTCATTGTAAGTTGAGTTGCATGACCTACCTTTATACTTCCTTATAAATTTTGTGATACCAGGATTTCATTAGCAGATACTAATCACACCTTTAAAAACTTGAACAGAATTGGTAAGGCACCCACGTACGCTCAGCAGTGTTCTAGTCTGGGAAGCTAGGCACCTAATCACTGGTTAAATACAATTACATAATTCTAGATTGGAACTTAAATTCCAGGTAAAACCCTGAAGACTAACTGTCCTCAGAACATGCCTGACCTAACCATACTGACAACTCTAGTACTGCTCCCAGTACTTTAACAGCCAAGTTACTTTTGCTGAGTAAAACAGAGAAAAAGGATATTTCCATTTTGCATCATAGCACAGGGGAAAGAACACTCATGCAAAAAGTGGAAAACCTGGTTCCAGGTACCCTGATCATCACTCTGTAGGGCTATTGTAGGCTGAAGCCTGGTAAAGGCAGCATTCCAGAAGTTTCTAAATATAATTTGTAACAACAACATTAAAAATACATGAAGATAGCAGATAACTGGAGAGAGTATTACAATAACAATGTCAAAAATAGCTTGAAAGAGCAGGTAGAAAAGCCT